GCTGATACAATAAAGCAACTTACTCAAGTCACCCTATGTTGAAACCCACTGTTCAGTAACACCCCCCACACACACACAACTTGAAATTCCCTTAACTTAGCCTTATATGTGAAATGTCAGATGACTACACTGGTGCCATGGCCCGGTGAGGACAAGAGACAGAGAAGCAGTGTCTCCAGGAGGACAAAATTAACATAAATTAACAGTAATACAGATGTCTGCTAAGATAACAAGCAAACATTTACAGTAATATCAGGGGTCAGATGTGAAAGCTTCCTAGATATATATAGAAAACTCAGCAATCTACAATGTAAAAAAACAATTAGCTTTATGGGGATCAAACTTTGTGAAGAAAGAAATACAATGAAACAACATGTATAATATTTAAACATTCACAATAATCTAAGTGCTAAGTTTTAATGAAACACAACAGTTGGGGCTCAGGATTTAGCTCAGCGGCAAAGCGCCTGCCTAAGTGCAAGGTCGTGAGTTCGGTTCCTGGTGCCGGAGAAAAACCAAAACCAAAAAAAAAAAAAAAAAAAAAATCACAACAGTTGATCTTTCTTGAATGGATTTAAGATTGTAAAAATACGTGTGTGTGTGTGGGGGGGGGGTCCTGGGGAATTGAACCCAGGGCCTTTGCACTGAGCTTCATCCCCAGCTGGTTTTTTTCGGGGGGACAGAGCCTCACTAGATTGCTAAATTGCCCAGGCTGAGCTCAAACTTGCAGTCCTCCTGTCTCAGCCTCCTGAGGAGCTGGGATTATGTGCATGTGCTACTGTGCCTGGCTAAAATATTTCCTTATTTTTTCCTCTGGTCATCTTTTAATTTCTCACGTGGTTGGGTCTGTTCATGTGTGTGAGACGGAAGTGGGTTTTCCTTGAACAGTAGCCGCTTCTCCCGTGGGGACTTCCATACCTCCTCCCCCCTGCGCTGCGTTCTTTAGAAGACAGCCGTGGGGCTGGCACAGTGGAGCACACCTGTAATCCCAGCTCCTCAGGAGGCTGAGGCATGAGGATCACATGCAAGAGGCCCTGGGTTCCGTCTCCAGGGTCCACGCAGGCAAAGCCTTGGCCTCCTTGGGCGAATACTCATCTGGATGAATTTTCTTTTGTTTTGGTTTTCTTCGTGCTAGTAACGGACCCCAGGGCCCGGTGCCTGCTAAGCCCTTACCTTCTGTGGGGCCATACTCCAGTCCAGGGTGAACTTTTATTTATTTATTTATTATCTTTTTTGAGACAGAGTCCTATCACATAGTTCAGGCTGGCTTTGAGCTCACTGTGTAACCCAGGCTGGCCTAGACCTCACAGCAATTCTCCTGTCTCAGCCTCCCCAGTATTGGGATTGCAGGCTTGTACCACCGCACCCAGCTGCCCCTGGGTGAATTTTAGAGCAGGCTTCTTGCCTTCCATTTTTTAGGGTTCCGCATGGACTCTGGGAATATCAGGGTTCAGGGCGCTGATGCAGGTGGGGGGTCCTCAAGGCCCCACCCTCACTTCTGGCCTACTGAACCTTGGCATCCTTGTCCTGGAGCCTGGGGCCAGGACCTTTCAGGGACAATGTACAGCTTGGGTGTCACTTTTCCCCGACACCTGGGCTGCTGAAGGGTGTATGACCCAAGCAGGTGACCCTGAGCAGCTGTGTTGGCTTTGGCCACATAAACACAAGGCCACAAGCTGCCATCAGGGCTCACACCTGTAATCCTAGCCCTTGGGAGGCTGAGGCAGGAGGAGCGCAAGGCTGAGCCCGGCCTGCTCAATTTAGTGATACCCTGTCTCAAAATAAAAAATAAGAAGGGCTGGGGCGCAGCTCAGCGTGAAGGCCCTGGGTTCAGTCCCCAGTGGCACACACCGTGGGTGACAGGTAGGTAGATAGCGGAGGATGAACGCTGCCCCAGCCCCGACCCCCAACCCGGGGAGCCGCTGCCCAGCGCTGAGGCGCCATGTCGTGTTCCAGACAAATACAATGACTTCATCGAGGCCAATCGCATCGAGGACGCCAGGGAGCGGATGAAGACGCTGCGGAAGCTGGTGAGAAGCGGGGTGCTACTCGTAGGACGGGATGGGGGGCACCCCCGAGCCAGGAGACCCGCAGCCTAGGGCGCCCCGCCGCGTGGCCTCAGTCTCCCCGCCGTGCCAGGCAGAGGGGCTGGCCACGGGGGACAGATGTCAAAGCCCCGTCCCCCAACCCTCTCCTGCCCAGATCCGGGACCTCCCAGGACACTACTATGAGACGCTGAAGTTCCTCGTGGGCCACCTCAAGACCATCGCAGACCACTCGGAGCAGAACAAGGTGGGCCCAGCGCAGGCTCGGGGCGGGAGGGCAGCACTCACGCCGGCCCCGCTCCAGGCCCTTCTGTCCCGCCCTCTGTGCTGGCCAGCGGCCCCCAGGGTCTCCTGAACCTCCGAGGTCGCACAGGGCTGACACCACAGTGCCCGGCATGTGGGGGGCGCTGTCGGTGTCGTTTCTTCCTAGTGCACTGTTGGCCGCGAGTGGTCAGGCCGCCCTGAACGGGCGTGCAGGTTGGGCACTGCTCAGGGCTGCCAGGCTGGGGCTGAGCGGGGCCGGAAGCTGGCGGAGCTCAGCCATGCCTTGCCAGGAGCTGCCTGGCCCTAGGCTGGGGACGACTCAGGATGCAGCCAGGAGGCAGACACTGACTCTGCCCACCCCCGCCCTGCCCAGATGGAGCCCCGGAACCTGGCCCTGGTCTTCGGGCCGACGTTGGTGAGGACGTCCGAGGACAACATGACAGACATGGTGACCCACATGCCCGACCGCTACAAGATCGTGGAGACGCTGATCCAGCACGTAAGCGGCTGAGCGGGACGATGAGCAGGGTGGGCCGGGCGCCCTTCGCCAGCGCCGTGCGTCTCCAGGAGGAGCAGGGCCAACCCCGCGCCCCGTGCTGGCTGTCGGGTCTGAGGGTGGCACCAGGCTGCGGCGCGAGGGACCTGCGGGGAGATGGGCAGCGGATGGCACAGCCTGGGCTTCACCCTGCCTGGGGGCTCCCTGAGAGCACCAGTGGGGGCCAGCAAGGGGCGCTGGCGGCCCGGTCGCCCCTGCTTGGCGGGGCTCATCCCCATCTCCAGGTGGTGCTGAGGCCTTGAAGGACCAGGCCGGCGCCCTCTGCCAGGACAGCTGGCCGCGCGGCCTGGGGAAGGCAGCTGGGGCTCAGGGGCCAGGACTTGGTGAGGGCTGGATGGAGCCTGTGTCCGCCCCTCGGGAGGCAGAGCTGTCCCTCCTGGTGCTGGCTCTGTGCAGGCGGCTGGCGGTTTCAGGAAGTGAAGTAGGATGCCCCTGATGACAGGATGCCTGGCACAGTGGCTTCTGGAGGCCACCAGGAGCCCAAGGCCTGTGTCAGCTGAGGTGGCTGAAAGAGCAGCCTTAGGGACAGGGGAGGCCCAAAGCGCGTCTTCCCGGCTTTTGTTTTTGTGAGGCAGGGTCTTACTATGCAGCCCAGGCTGGCCTCAAACTCATGGCGATCCTCCTGCCTCAGCCTCCCAAGAGCTGGGATGACAGGCGTGCACTGCCATGCTCGGCTAAGATGCTTCTGTAGGATGTTTGGGGCGTCTCTGACCTCTAACTCTAGATGTTGGGACGTCTCCCCAGACAGTTGTGACCCTTGGGAAGGTCCCCAGACATTGCCAATGCTGTGTGGGGAACAACTGCCTTGCCATGGAGCTGGCCTGCTCCTTGCACGCTGTGGCCTTGGTGAGCCACCTCGCTGCTCTGAGCCTCAGTTTCCGTGTCTGTAAAGCTCAGGAGTAACAGCGCCTGGTCACAGGGCTCCCGTGAGGGCTGCAGCAGGTAGGGTCTGCAGAGTGCAGAAGGGGGCCTGGCAGCTAGGAAGGGGCACCATCGTTGTCACTGCCACTGATTGTCCCCAGAGACATGGGCGGGAGCTGGGGACAGAGGTGACTGGGCTCCCGCTTGGAGGGGATCCAGCCGTGGGCGGCTGGGGATTGGGGGGGAGGTCATCAGAGCCGCCACTTTATTTATTTATTTATTTATTTTTGGTTTTTCTCCGGTACCGGCAACCGAACTCACGACCTTGTGCTTGCCAGGCAGGCGCTTTTGCCACTGAGCTAAATCCCCAGCCCAGTGGCGGTCTAAAGCCGCCACTTTAGACCATGGGGTCGCAGGCTGAGGGGACATCACGGTGCCTGCAGGGGGCACCAGCCGCGGGCTTCGCAGTCTTCCCCGCCTGAGCGAGAGGCTGGCTCCTGTGGCCGGCCTGTCTCTGACACCGCGCCTGCCTGTACGACCGCTCACGTTCAAGCTGTGCTGGTCGCATGCCGCATTCCTCGGGTCCCATGGAGAAGCTTGAGCTCTCGTGAGAACTGAAGGCAGCGCTCTGTGATGTGCTCGGGTGCAGGCGTCCTGGTCTCTAGGATGACGGGTCACACCCCCTTGCCCAGCCGGCTGGCCACAGCCGAATCTCCTGCCCGCCTTCCCCCGAGAGACATGAATCCCGTGATTTTTTCTGGGGTGCTGGGGGGTGCAGGTCTCTGTCTTCATGTAGCTACTTCCTGCAGAAAGGGACTGGACGCACCACCCAGTGGGGACTGTGCGCTCTCCAGCTCCCTTGGGGTGCTGGGGCTCGCCAGCCGGCTTGGGGGAAAGCCCGCGTCTGCGTGCGGACCTGCTGAGCTGCGCGGGCGGGAGCGCGCTTGGGAGATCTGTCAGCAGAGGGAGCTGACTGTCGTTTGGGGATGTAGAGCCCAAGAACAGGGAGGGGCAGGTCAGACGTCCGCACTTCCTGTGAAGGTGCAAGTGCAGCACAGGGGTAGTAGATCGATTACCAAGAGTCTGAGAGTTGTAGCCCTCGCAAGATTACCCACATCACGGATCGGATTAAACAGCCAGAAAACTAAAAACAGGCGTCTTAGTACAGGTGCCTGTTTAAAGTTTGGTGCATTGGGGGTTGTTGGGGACTCTTTAGCTGCACCCACAGCAGTACTGGAGTCTTGCTTTTTGTCTTGTTTTTTGTTGGTGGGGTTTTTTGAAACAGGGTCTTGCCGTGTAGCCCAGGCTGGCCTCGAAGTGGAGATCCTCTTGCCTCAGCCTCCCGAGTGCTGGGATTATAGGCGTGTACCACTACACCTGGCTGGAGTTTTGCTTTTTCAAGGGGAGCCTCTGGTCTCCCAGAGCATCGCAGGAGTAGAGTCTTAGTTCTGAGAAGTTTGAGTGATCGTTGCTCACATAGGGATTTTTAGCTTTCCACCGTGTCGCTGGAGGAAAGACAATGCTTCCCCAGGAACTGGAAACCAGGCTGAGCCTGTCCTTCATGCCTCTCCGGCAGCCTTTGGATTTCCCAAGGGGATTTTCGTCGTGTCTGTGGGGTCCCTCTCAGTGAGTGGACAGCAGCCACTGGGGGAGTCAGACGGCCTCGAGCAGGTGCTGAGTTTTCTGAGCTTCTGCCTTTTCTTCGCATCGGCACCAAGTAAAACTGCGCAGCCCTGGTGCAGGGCGGGGGAGGGCTTTGGCCTCGGGCCTGTAGCACGCGGAAAGCTGCATAACCTGCCTGCGACGTCCTTCAAGGCCCTTCCACGGGTGACCACACCTCCTCAGGGGCGTGGCAGGGCCGTCGGTGGTCCTGCCAGCCCTGTGGGCAAAGCAGGGGTGAAGAAGCTCTGACTAGGGCTCCCCTGAACCCCAACTATGGCCATAGATCTAGAGGAGGTTGTTTTTTTCTGGAGAAGGAAATTAAAACAGAATGACGGAACCTGCTCACCCATGATGCCTGGGGGCATCTGCAGTTTTTCACAGGCGAGGGCGGTGAGGTCTGTGGGCAGGGGCATTGGGGGTTGCCTCAGGCCCCTTCAGCCCTCTTTACCCCAGCGGGAGGCGAGCTCTGGCTGGCGTAGCCTCTGTGGGAGCGGGCGCAGCCGGTCTTCCAATGCCAAGAGTCAGGCACTGCGACCACCCGACACACAGACCGGGGCCTGGGTGGTGACTCAATGCAGTCTTGTGCCCGCTGTCCAGTTTTCTTGCCCTTAAAGCAGGTTTTAGCTGGGCATGGTGGCGCACGCCTGCAATCCCAGTGCTCGGGAGGCTGAGGCAGGAGGATCGCTGTGAGTTTGAGGCCAGCCTGGGCTACATAGTGAGACCCTGTCTCAAAAAGACCGAAAAAAAAACAGGCCTTGACTGGCCCTGGGTTTTCCCTTGGACAGCCTGGGCGTGTGTGAGGCAGTGCCGGTGGCAGCAGCCATCGTTTTGGTCTGTCTTTTTCTCTCAGCCTTTCGCCCTTCGTCCTCACCTAGATTCCCACCGCTGAACTCAGAAAAGGCCACGTCACAGGGGCCTGGGGCGTCTGCAAGCCCAGCAGGAGCTTTGGAAAATCTGCCTGATTGTTCTTTGCGCTTCAGGTCTCTGCCCCTTGAGAAGGAACATGGGTCTGAGCCGCGCCCTCTACTCCTGGGGCCTCCCGTAGGGCAGGGTGAGCTTTGAGCCAGTGCGTCCTGGGGCGTTAGAGCTGTGTGAGGAGGCCCTGGGTCACTGGAAGAGAAGGGTCTCATCTGCTGGCCTGAGGGTTATAAGGAGGAGGGCGGGGCACCACTCAAGGTGGTTGCTTTCTGCAGACAGGTGGGAGAGATCGGGGTCCCCTGAGAGACAGGTGGGTGCCTGAGGACAGGATCACAACAGTGTGGATTTCCTTCTCCTTAGGCCTCTTTTAGCACCACAGTCCTTGGCCCTTTCCAGCAGTACAGCTGTAAAAGCCTGAGCCTAAGGGATTTTACAGCACTTTTCTTGCCCTTTACAAAAAGCTCTAACTGAAGAATAGTATCGGGCTGGGGATGTAACGCAGAGGCGTGGCACCTGCCTGGCAAGCTTGAGATCCTGAGTTTGATTCCCAGTACTAAAAGAAAAAAGAAAAAAAAAGTGTCATAATTTAAGCTGGGCATGGTGGCCCACGCCTGTAATCCCAGCACTCGGGAGGCTGAGGAAGTATGATCGTTTTGAGTTTGAGACCAGCCTGGGCTACAAAGTGAGCTCAAGGCCAGCCTGAACTGCATAGCGAGACCCTGCCTCAAAAAGACCAAAAAAAAAAAAAAAAAGTGTCATAATTTTTAGACTGTCGTTCTGTAGCCATCTTGCACCGTCTCCTAGCTGATCCTGGACCCAGACAGTATTACAACAGAAGAGAAGTCGGTCTCTTTTGAGATTGTCAGGGTGAAATCGTTCCCAGTTTTTAAGGCTACAGCCTAATGGCAAGATCGCTGGGATCTGCAGAGTGTTCCCCATCGTGCGTCATGGGTCCAGGTTCAGAGAAAAGACTAGGTCTGGGTTACTTCCTAGAGGTCCCCTCAGAAAGAAGACAGCCATTGAGGCCCCAAGATGTCCCTTGTGAGACGTCTCTGACCAAAGCAGCACTGCTGCCTTCTTTATTAATTTTTATTAGAACTCTTCATACCCACAGGCACAGCCTGGCCCTTGGAGAGAGGGGTGAGGAGCCCCTGGGCTCCTTGAGCAACAGTGTCCCTTGCGTTTATCCCAATAATAAAAAATTTGGTACTTTGTTTGGGGCAGTAGAGATAGATCTCTTTTTTATCATTTAAGAGAAAAAAAGAAAAGAAAAAAACTTTAAAATGTTCTGGGAAGGGCCAGGGATATAGCTCAGCAGCACAAACGCCTGCCCGGCAAGCGCAAGGTCCTGAGTTCGATTCCCGGTCCCAAAAAAAAGTGCTGAGTAGGAGGGCACCACTACTTCTGCCTGCTCAGCCCTCAAGGCGACCTTTATGGCTGCTCCCTTCCTTTGCTCAGGCCCTGAGGCACGTTTGTAAATGACCTGAATTTCTCTTGGAAGAAAGAGGGAGGGAATCTAACCCAACTTAGAAGAGAAGCAGGGAGGCGGCCCATATGTTCCCTAAAAGCAGAGGATTTAGCTCTTTATCTAAGAGTGAGATTTCCTGGTGTCCATGAGGTCCGTTGAAAAAAAAATGGCGAACAAACATGGCGGAACCACGTGACTCACTCAGGTCATGAACCAAAATGGCCCCCAGTCATGGCAGAACCTCCTTATAGGAGGAACCAAATGGCTGCCAAATACAGGAGAAAGGGAGACTGGGATGAAATGAGGTCTTAAGAAAGCAACTCATGGGCTGGGGATTTAGCTCAGCGGCACAGCGCCTGCCTGGCAAGCGCGAGGTCGTGAGTTCGATTCCCAGTACAGGAGAAAAACCAAAAAAAGAAAAAAAGAAAAGGAAGGATGGGTGGATTATGGTTGAAAGGATGGATAGAAGAATGGATGGATGGATGAACAGTTCTAACACGGAACCATCATAGTCACCCTGGTCATCACTGGTCCTTCCACTGTCTTCATAGTTTTCCCTTTTCCAGAAGGGCATGTAGTTGGCGCCATCTGTGTGCACCCTTTAAAAATTGGTTTTTTTCTTAGTAACATGGATGGATGTTCTCTCCACTGCCCATTATTTTTTTTTTTTTTCCTTTTTCCATTTTTTAGTTCTAGGGATGGAATCTAGGGCCTCCAGATGCTAGCCAGGTACCCTACCACGGAACTGCATCCCCAGCCCTTTTTATTTTATTTTGAGACTAAATCTCACTGAGTCACCCAGGCTGGGCTAGAGGTCTCTATCCTCCTGCTTCAGCCTCCCAAGTAGCTAGGATCACGGGCGTGCCTCGCCGCGTCCACTCAGCGGCAGCTCATAATGGCCTTTCCGGCTGAGCCGTGGTTTGTCCGCCGCCTGCACTGCGCTCGCCGGCTTTCTGCACGCGACGGAGTGACAGTGAGCGAGCTGACGAAGCGGAAAGGTGGAGCAGGAGCGGGTGGGCTGGGCCTGGCGCCCGACTAGTACCGGAGTCCCCTCCCAGGTGCCAGGGGCCTCGGGGACAGGCGTCTGTCATGGTCATCTGGGTCGCAGCCAGCTTTGACCAACCATAAATCCAGCTGCTGTGAACATCTGCTTGTGGGTCTGTGTGGCTCCTTGGGTTAGTAATTCTGACGGGCACTGTGGCTTAGTTGTGTAAGAAACCACCGCGCAGGCCGGCTGTGCCACCTCCAGCCCTGTCCGCGGCCAGTGCCTCCCGGCTCGGCCTCCCCAGGCTCCCGTCCTCGCCGGCAGGGTCCCGGTGTCCCACCGTTCTCACAGGAGCGTAGCGGGGTCTGGGGGTGTGAGTCTCACTTCCTAGTGATAGCGGATGTGGGACGCCTTTTCAATGGGTGGCGCGTCCAGGTCTTTGGCCCATTTTTGATCAGGTTGTTTGTTATTTTGTTTTTTTGTTTTTTGGTTTTTTTTTGGTTTTTCTCTGGTACCGGGAACCGAACTCACGACCTTGCGCTTGCCAGGCAGGCGCTTTGCCGCTGAGCTAAATCCCCAGCCCCA